CAGCAGTGTGGATGCACGGGGCAATAAAGTCTATGATAAATAAATAAACAAATAAATAAATAGACGTGACTCTCTTTTGTCGTCTTCAACAAAACACGTCACTCCGCCTGTTGTTCTGGAGGTGAATCGCTCTGCAACACACGCAAGACTTTTAGCATGAAGTGAAACGAGTGCGTCGACGCAACGACGCAGACGCAGAAGCGCGCGCCGGCCAGACGTTTGATGGTGGGAATCAATGTCACCACTTTGCAACCTTGAAGTCTCGTCCTCCCGCATACCTCAGCTGTTCCTCCATCATCATCATTCCTCCCTGCGCGCACATCTGCAGACCGAGGTCCCTGAACGCACCAGTGAACTACTCATACAGAAGAAGCTGCTGCATCTCACTCCATGAGCCACAGCGCAACGCATCATTGACGAATTTATTTGTAATGGTTTTATGTGAAGAGCTTTGAATTGGCTTGATGTTGAAATGTGCTGCCAATAAATTAGCTTCGCTTTACAAAGGAGCGTCCCTATATTTCGGGGGGTGGGGGGCAGGTTTGCAATGAGTCTGTTTCCTCAAAGGGGCCCTGACATAAAACGTGTGGGAACTACTGCAGCGGTGCAGATGCAGAGAACCTGGTTGTTATCAGTAGTTAGTAGTGTGATCACGTGACGCCCCCTGGTGGATGGAACAGGTATCGTCTTCTAGTTGAACATCTGCTCCCTGATGGACACCCATTGGTCCCCAAGCTGCTAGATATGTCCCATCATGCCTCATAACGTCGCTCCTTCACATGTCCTCATTGTTTATTCACAGCGTAAACTGACTCCACTCGCTCAGAAGTCAGCCTACAGCTTATTTCTCTCACTTTAGAGAACTCTCCTCAGGACTTTTCAATGGTCACTAATAATCACGACATGTAGCAGCATTAACAACCTCTTCAGTGATCACATTATGAAATAAAAGAGTGTTCACTGCATAGACAGAATGCTGAGAAGTGTGTGTACCTTGTATGCTGTGTGTATTTAATCTGCTTCTCTCTTAACATTTACCTTCATGTGACACGTTTGTATTATTGAGGATGGATTTGATCACTATGTGACTTAATGAATTAATACGACAAATGAAGACACTGATTTGGGTTTTTAAGATGTTTTATTGAAAAAATATATATTTCAGTTTGGTCACACTTCAGTCTGTAAAGATTGTGGATTTCCTTTGAATGTCAGTCAGATTTAAAAAAACAAAAAAACAAAATAAAAAACACTTTCAGTGATGCAGGTTGAGAAGTTACACAATGACACAAATGACTTTTAACGTCCACTTTTTCATCCATTCCTCCAACTTACGTCTTATATATGATATATAAATATATAAGATCATTGATCCTCTCACACACTGATGAGCAGCTTCCTGCCGTCAGTAACTAATATTCACTCCATTCTCACTCTGTGGTCACAGCTACAGGAGCAATGCTGGGTTAAGCGTCTTGCTCAAGGGTTCATCAACACGCGGGTCAGCAGGGATGGAACCGTTGATCCTCTGGTTGGACTCTACACCCACAGTCTCCCTGACACTTCATGTCACCATTGACTTTCATTTGTATATGTATCATTTTTGTATCATTTCTGTGCTGATCAGTGATATTTTTGGTAAAGCAGAGATAAAATAAATAAACAACCAGTAGAGCTGCTGTCAGTCCCAGTGCACAGTAGAGGCCGATCCATCTCAGTCTGGTGTCACTCGTTGTCTCAGGTTCGGGTCGATCCTTCACTGCTGCAAAGAGACACAACAAATCTGTTTATTAATGTAAAGAAAAAGGTTTATTTATCTGAATAAAGCTGCTGAATTAAACGTGTTAGTAAGTTTAACTTAATGAACCTACCAGTGACATTGAGGTGACATTCCTTATAGTTCCTCCCATAACTTGTGAGCACTAGACACCAGTACAGCCCCGAGTCATTAGTCTGGAGTCTGGAGATGTGAAGTCTGAGTCGTCCTTCTCTGAGGACGTCTTTGTCCCACTGGACTCGTCCTGCAAAGCGTTTATCCTGAAACTCTGGGGCCTCGACACCTTCATGTAGATTAAACAGGACAAAAGGTCTCTCAGGAGCTTCCATCTCACAGGAGACATAAAGGGCGTTGGGGGAGGGGTCCGTGCTGGTGGGGAACATCCATTCCAGTGAGATGTTGTGGTTCTCCTCTGCATGATACCAGCTCTGTGTCACATTCACTACAAATGACCCTGCTGAGGAGACAGAGAAGGAGAGGAGGAGGTGACAAAGTGACAGCTTTAACATGGAGCCTTTAGACTCCATCTCCAGATGTTTCTGAGGAGTGTGTGCTGATGCTTCACAGCTGCTTCACAAACACAAAAGTGAACTGACCACAGACACAGGAGGTCAGGATGAAGATCACCAGGATGCTGCAGATCATCTCCTCCCTGTGAGAGGAGACAGAGGAGAAGAGGCTCAAACATCATCATCACACCAACAATCTACAGTGTGTCTTCACATCCTGATGCTCTTTGTGTTCTTCATCATGCTTGTTACAAACACACAAAGCTTTCATGCTGATGACAACCTCCATGAGACATTAGACACGACCACTGTGACCTCTGACCTGTTATATGGTAGACACGTGTCTAGCTGTGTTTTTTTGCATTGTGTGGTTTTCAGTAATTTTATTTTACATGATTTGATTGATTTATTTGAAGTGGTTCTTTGTTGTATTTTAAGATTATTTACTTTTAACATTTCTACACTGACCTCCCGGATGGTACAGTTAGTCCCACGTGGTCCATTTTCTTTATTTGAATTCATATCTTAAGTGAACAGTACTTAAACTCTTTTGCTTTTATACAGTTTTCTGTATAAAAGTCTTCTGCTCCAGTTTATTTTGAATCTTGGTCACAAGTAGATGAATAAATATCATGTGATTTCATGTGTCTTTTCCTCCATCTTTAATTCTTGATGTTTTAAATGTATACATTTAATTTATTTCATCACGACAGTCTGAAAACAAGACTCGTAATAACTTCAGCTCTCCCGCCTTTTTCTCGATGGATCAGGTTATATTCTGATCTGTCATCAATAAATTGCATCCCTTTTGAGTTTAATTCTGTAAATATCTTGTGTAATCCATGAATCGTCACGTAATAAATGTTAATATAATCACACCAACATCAAGTCATTCTCTCTTTACCTTGGACGTCTTGAGTGATGTGAACTGAAGCTCTTCAACAAGTAAACTCCTCAGTCTGTGAAGTTCATCAGAATCCTTTTGCAAAGTTAAGAATGAAATAACATTTACTAACAAAGTTTCGGTTCGTTTCATGTTTCTCTCTATAAAGGTAAGAGAGAGAGATCCTGCAGAGGAGCACGCAGTGAACCGTCCGCATTGAATTCTCTTCTCGCGATACTACGGTCCGTGTTCATCTAGTTGGCTCATTATCGCCACCTGACGTTCGGAGGAGCGTATCAGACATTGTGCAACCCTCAATTCACGCACTGTCGCCACACCTTCAAAATATTAATATTTAGAGATAAATAAACAACATATACAATAAAACATTTAAACAAGTACATGTATGCATGTACAAATCAAAAATATATATTTATAAATAACTCTTGCTATGTACAAACACATACGTGTTATCACAAATACCCCTGTGCTCTCTCAGTGGTGTAACAGCCCTGATTCCCTCAGCTGATTCCTCATCTTCTCTCTCAGCATCTCAAACCCACGTGCTCAGCGACTCCTCTTCTCCACTCGCTTCAGCAAGAGAAGCTTCAGCGGGGTTATTTTATCTTTATCAGCGGGGGGGGTACCTGAGCTTCTTCTGGGACAGGTTGAGCTCCATGTACTTGTACTTCTGGTATTGTTCGTCCAGCTTCCTCGCGCAGGTGTGTTCTCTAACGTTCTAACCCCGGCGGGGGGGCTGTTGTGATAAACGTATTAATGTGACGCTTTACGCACCACAAACACCGCTTCGGGGATCCCGAGGTGCTTTCTCTTGGTCGCCTGAACGGCATCGCTGTTGTCGATGGTCGCAGCCATCTTGGAGAGAAGCTAACGCCTTCTTTTTCTTCTTCTTCGCGTGTTTTAATGCCAGTTGGCATCCGTCTCATTGGTGCATTAACGCCACCTTCTGCCCCGGAGTGCGGATCAGACACTTACTTCCTATTTTTCTCCCGAAATACAAACATGTATTTCTAAATAAAAAACTAAAAACAAAATAAGAAATAAAAATAAAATAAGAAATAAACATTCCTTCCTTACTCCATTACGTTGTACGTTCCATACGTAATTTACTTAGTTCCTTACGTAACGTGCGTAAACCGTCTGAGGAGCAGCGTGCGGCTCGGCTGCCCTCTAGCGGCGATATTCTAGGGGAGATAAACAATCCCTTAAAAAATGAAAGACTGATTTTTTTGTTTAATTAGTTTTGCTAACATGTTTGGTATCAGCACCAGCTTCTGTAAAATACGTTATGTGGCTTAAGAAAAATTATTTCTCATCACACAAATAAAAACATTCACTTAGATATCGGTTTGTGTATCCAAAACATACAGAATATTAATCTGTTTCCTTTCTTTCTGAACAGGAACCAGAATAAACATTAGTCTTTGATGACGAGCAGCACGATGCTTAATGCATAATATGTTCAGTAGTAAGAGTCTCTGTCAGAGGAGCTGAAGGTCTAGAACAAAAAAAACCCACTGGATTTCCTTTGAATCAGTGATGCTGGTTGAGAAGTTACACAATGACACAACAACTTCATCCTTAGAAGATCATGTAGCAGCATTAACAACCTCTTCAGTGATCACATTATGAAATAAAAGAGTTTTCACTGCATAGACAGAATGCTGAGAAGTGTGTGTACCTTGTATGCTGTGTGTATTTAATCTGCTTCTCTCTTAACATTTACCTTCATGTGACACGTTTGTATTATTGAGGATGGATTTGATCACTATGTGACTTATTGCATTAATACGACAAATGAAGAGACTGATTTGGGTTTTTAAGATGCTTTATTGAAAAAATATATATTTCAGTTTGGTCCTGATGAAACTAAACTAACTGACCTTCACAGACACAACGAGGGCTCAGCGTTCACCAGCTGGGCTCCCTGAGTCACAAGTGTCTCTGTAGACTCACTGATACCTTCATGCTGCTGTTGGTCCATGAGACACACAGGAGACATCCAAAGATCCAGATGTGTCTCAGCTGGACTTCAGTCAGAACAACTCAGACTGTTTCTGTGCGAAACATTTAAAGGATCAATGACTTTAATTGTGGTTTTGATGTATTGTTTGTTGTACTGATCTCTCATCCTTTTGGTAATGTAGAGATAAAATGAATAATGAACCAGTAGAGCTGCTGTCAGTCCCAGTGCCCAGTAGAGGCCGATCCATCCCCGAGGATCTCCTCTCAGTCTGGTGTCACTCGTTGTCTCAGGTTCGGGTCGATCCTTCACTGCTGCAAAGAGACACAACAAATCTGTTTATTAATGTAAAGAAAAAGGTTTATTTATCTGAATAAAGCTGCTGAATTAAACGTGTTAGTAAGTTTAACTTAATAAACCTACCAGTGACCTTGAGGTGACATTCCTTATAGTTCCTCCCATAACTTGTGTCCACTTCACACCAGTACAGCCCAGAGTCATTAGTCTGGAGTCTGGAGATGTGAAGTCTGAGTCGTCCTTCTCTGAGGACGTCTTTGTCCCACTGGACTCGTCCTGCAAAGCGTTCATCCTGAATCTCTGGGACCTCGACACCTTTATACAGCTCAAACAGGGTAAAGGGTATCTTATCAGCTAACATCTCACAGGAGACATAAAGGGCGTTGGGGGAGGGGTCCGTGCTGGTGGGGAACATCCATTCCAGTGAGATGTTGTGGTTCTCCTCTGCATGATACCAGCTCTGTGTCACATTCACTACAAATGACCCTGCTGAGGAGACAGAGAAGGAGAGGAGGAGGTGACAAAGTGACAGCTTTAACATGGAGCCTTTAGACTCCATCTCCAGATGTTTCTGAGGAGTGTGTGCTGATGCTTCACAGCTGCTTCACAAACACAAAAGTGAACTGACCACAGACACAGGAGGTCAGGATGAAGATCACCAGGATGCTGCAGATCATCTCCTCCCTGTGAGAGGACACAGAGGAGAAGAGGCTCAAACATCTTCATCACATCAGGAAACGATGTCTTTACATCGTAAACAACAGACTTTTTTTTCTCTCTCTTTAGACTTTGTTTCCAACTGAAACTCTTAATATCCTTTAATGTCCTCACTTAGAGATGTATTTCTTTGCAGGCCCCACGATCATCAAGGAGAGAATGTCATGATCTGACTTGGCTTTGGAGGTGTGGTGGTTTCCGTGGTTACCTGGTGGCTGCCTGCTGTCACACCTGTCCTGCATTTACGATCGTCAGGAGCCCCTCTTAAGGAACAGCAGGAGCACCAGTCTTTGCCAGATCGTTTCGCCTATAGTGGTAACTTGGCCAGCTCTAACCCGAGAACGATTTTCAAAGGAAAGAGTTTTTGTTGCAATGACCTTTTTTTCATGTTTCAGTCCCATCCCAGCCTGCTTCTTGGAACCTGACGCATTCCCCGGCTTCCCCTCTCGCCCTGCGCTGCTTGGGAGAACTCCTCCAGCCAGCCGGATCTTTACCTCTCCCTCAAGCGTGGATTCTATCTACCGCACCGCTCCTGCCGCCTGGACCCCTGTGCCTCTCTGCCTCTCCAGCATCTTCCCCGGCCACGGATCCCGAACTAAGTCCCTCTGCTGCCAAAAATAAAATCTTTCATTTCTCTGAATCCTGCTTTTGAGTCCAACCCTTCTTCTGGCTATCACCCCATGACAGAACTCCCCAGCACAGACTCTTCTCGCTCCTGCAACAGGGAACTTTAATCTTTGTTGTTATCGATTTAAAAAAAGACTTGTATTATCTTAAAAGCACTTTTAACATCAAAGGACATATCAACCGACACACCGGACACGCAGTCTACTTTAACACAAAGTGACATTATCTGGACTCCGTAACAGACTTTCATCAGAGGACTTACACATGTGTTTATATAGAACTGCTGTACCTTTATGTTTGATTGGGATTATATGTTTTACCTTTGAATACAGCTGTTTTCCATGAGTCGATGTGCCTCCTGGTTTGTATTTGATTTAATTTACATTTACCCATCTGGTCGGGTACATTATTGCGCATTGATCGGAAGACAACCCACGTTATTCCCTGTGATGTTTTAAGGTTGTTTGCCTGCGGGACACACGCACGCTCGACGTCCATAAACACACCAGTAGTGGAGTTAGATGTTAAACGTCTTGCAGTTGGCATCACTCAACTAAACTTATCAGTTTAATATTAAACCTGAAATAGTTGCCGACTCACTAATCGGTAGATTATTTGTCCAGTAACATCTGGATATAAATTGGTCCATGTTGGACACGTCACGTGATTACTGGCCGGTTTACGTGCACAGCAGAGTTGCGCAACATGTTGAAGATCCGCACTGAATTGACGGTAAAAGCTGCTTATTCTGCCACTTCTTAGTATTTGATTATGCGTAACTGCTACATTTGTAATCCCAACACACATATTGCATCTATAAACACAAGAATAAAGAGTACAAATAAAAATGCACCTTTATTAAAGACAAGTATTTAATAAAGATTGTTTTAGTTTTGTCTGGGTACCATCAGCCTGCACGTCCTGTACTGGAGTGTGGACCAGTTCATGAACCCTCTACGAACTAAAACACTCCTTAAAGACAGCGGCAGGAACTCACGGAACCATCTTCTGTTCAGAACCCTTAAAGTAGGATTTCATCTTTAATTTGACTCCAGCAGGAGGACGGATGCGTTTGACCAAATGATACAAACACCAACATCAAGACATTAATTCATTCATTCATTACCTCGCATGTCCTCAGAACGCGGTTCTTCTTCTTCTGTCTGGACTCTTCACAGCTCGAGGTGCGCAGCGAGGACGCGACGTGTTACAGCCTGAGGCTTTAACGAGACGCTGCTGTAAGTAGCCGTGTGGTGGTGGGCGTGGTTTAGAGTCAGTTGTAGTCGGACCTGTTTGAAGAGACACGCCTCTTTTTGGAGCTGCAGCGAGGACAGAAACAGAAGAGAAACTATGAAAGGAATTCACATCACTCAGACTGTTCGCTTTGTTGACTCAGATTCCTGTCTGAGTCATTTGTGTCGTGGTGTCGTCAGGAGGTAGAGCGGGTGCGCTGGGAACCGCAAGGTTGGTGGTTCGAGTCCAGGCTGCCCCATGTCTCAAGTCGAAGTGTCCCCGAGCAAGACACCTGACCCCTAATTGCTCCCCGGGCAAAATGTGAAAAAAGCCATGTGTTTAAAGTGTAATGTAAGTCGCTTTGGATAAAAGCGTCTGCTAAATGACCTGTAGTGTAATATTTACACACAATGAGGTGACTGATGACTTAATGACTAATGTCTTATTATCATGTAGATTCAGCATTCTGCTCTTTCTCATTCTGGCAACAAAGTGACTTTACAAACTGGGGACAATGTAATTCATCGATGGTCTGTTGTTCAGGTTATTGACTATAAATGTTGACCCGAGCCTCCGATTCAAGTCCTGAAACCCCAAAGACTTTAAATATGTGACGTATTTACTATAAAACAGACAGTTTAGATCTTCTGATGGAATGAGAGTGAACATTGTACTGTTTGTTACTTCAGTACTTTGATCTAATGACGCTTCATGCTTCTGCTCCTTAAACATCTTAATGTACTTTACTACATCTCAGAGGTCAATGTTTGAATCTTTACTTAACTACAGGTCACAGTTAGTTACTCAGTTACTTTTGAAGTACTTGTACTCTTATTGAATACTTATTAGCAAATGTCTTTCTATTATCTGCTGCATATAGAGCACCAGTCAAAAGTTGAGACACATTTTCTTATCGATTCGATGAGAAATTGTGTCTAAACTGACAGGTACTGAATTCATCTGTGTGTGTGTGTCACCAATAATGCTGTGAGGTCAGTTTATTCACTATGAGGCTCTCAGGTAGAAACATTCTAACCTGTAAATAAGTCTCATGATTCATCACTTATCTCAACAATGTGTTTTTTCACGCAATAAGGTACTCGAGGCAGTTCCAGTTCAGGACAAACCCTTAAAGTGTAACATTGACAATAAAGTACAGCCTCGACTACCTTACTGCTTTTATAATACTGTCATCAGCAACATTATTAATAGTAAGTAAATAGCTGCCTTGTGGCCACATTTCAGTAGCCTGAAGAAAATAGTCCCTGTACGTTTGGCTGCTGCTGTACAACGGAGATACAGCAACATCACGCTTGTTAGCACCAGGAGTTGCTTTATGATTAGTTGGGAGATGGACATTCACTTGTGCGTCGTCTGAAAACATCCCAGGTCTCTTTGCAAGATGTCGCACCATCTCATTCATTCACATCGCTCATGACGTCCACCTGAATTGTCCTCTTTAGCTAAAAGGCGTCTTACATCTCTCATTTGAGGCATGTCGGGTCTTTTTTTTCGGTGATTGCCACCGAGCTGAAAACTGAAATGACAACTAACCACCAACTAACTGTTAGAGTTTTCACTGCTATGTAAATGTAAACAGGTACAGTACATTACGGCTTAATACAGTACACCCTGTACACACTGTCAACCAATCAGAATGCTGGAGTTCATCTACCAGAATAATGAAAAGAAATATGTCTACCTTAAAAAAAAAAGTAAAAGTGAGAACTGCCGCCCGTACATGGACGACCCAAGTGAGACGTAAAGGAACAGAAACTGCTTCCCCCAGAGGCCAAGCCGCTGGAGAAACGTAAAACAACCCGCCCTGTGATTAAGAACATGACACTGACAGATAGTTGACTAAATGCCAACATGAATTTGTTTTTTTGCCTCAGTTGATTCCAGCATAACACAGTCACCACAAACGTCGTATTTTGACATGGAGCAGCAGGGGTTCGAACCGCCAACCCCGCGGTTGATTTCACACTGCACACAAAGCTGCAGAGGATTGAGTCGACCAGTTCTCCATCCATCCATCCATTGTCAGACCGCTTATCCTGCACACAGGGTCGCGGGGGGGGCTGGAGTCCATCCCAGCCAACTTCAGGCGATAGACAGGGTACATCCTGGACTGGTCGCCAGCCAATCGCAGGGCTACACAGAGACAGACAACCATTCACACTCACATTCACACACAACACAACTACGGGCAATTTAAAGTCCCCAATGAACCTGATCCCCAGAGCATGTCTTTGGACTGTGGGAGGAAGCCGGAGAACCCGGAGAGAACCCACGCAGACACGGGGAGAACATGCAGACTCCACACAGAAAGGCCTCTGGGCGGAATCGAACCCAGGACCTTCTTGCTGTGAGGCAACAGTGCTAACCACCACGCCACCATGCCGCCCTCGACCAGTTCTACCGGTTGTTAATCTCTGTGTCAGACAATCAGCGTTATGTGATGACATGTGTGACGGTTTCCCAAAAACAAGTTGAACGGCGGTGAAGCGTTAAAAAGGAACCAAAGGACTGTAGATGATGTCAGAGAATACACATCTACATCTTACTCACACTATTCCATAGGAATGATTGGAACATGAACAAATG